CAAATTGTAGTTATGATGATGATGATGATGATGATGATGATGATGATGATGACGATGATGATGATGACGATGACGATGATGATGGTGATGATGATGATGATGATGATGATGATGATGATGATGATGATGATGAGATGACGATGATGATTATTTTCATGATGGTATTGATGACGTTGATGCAAATTGTAGTTATGATGATGATGATGATGGTGATGATGATGGTGATGATGATGATGATGATGATGATGATGATGATGATGATGATGATGATGATAATGATAATGATAATGATGATGATGGTGATGATGATGAGATAACGATGATGATGATGATGACGATGATGAGTGTGTACCATATTCGGAACGAATGTGGTACATTTTTCATCCGAATATGGTACAAGTTTGTACCATATTTGGTCAGGCATTTTACCCCAAAACTGCAGAAACGTATATGGTACAATTAGACAGTTGTACCATATTCGGCCGAATATGGTACAAATTTGTACCATATTCGTTTTTGTACCAAATACGGTCCGACAGAGCTCATTTGACCCTAATATGATTGTTCCTTGAGATAAAAGTATGATTTTAAGATGGTGTCATATTTCCTATAAGAAACTTTAAAGTTTCAGTTCTTTGTTATGATGCTAAAAATAATTTTGAAAATATTCAAATTTTGTCAATTTTGTTTTAAAAACATCTTAAGGGGCATGATTAGAAGGTAAGAAGCAATAAATAAACTTAATACCATTACATTAAGCAAAAAAGTCGTAATATAGCCAATAATAAGTTCAAGGTCGGCTTGAATAGACTTTGCAAGACGTTCATTACGAACTTGAACATATTCTCTAGAATATATCATTTTCAACATATCTAGACGAGACAGCTAGAGAGGTGACTTTTGACTTTGCTTTCAACCACCTTTTGACATGTTTTAACCAACTTTTGACATGTTTAATAGACTTTTAACATTTTTAAACCAAATTTTTCAACAAACCCTTTTCAACAAACCCTTTTCAACAAACTTTTGAATTTTTTTCAACTAATTTTTTACTTTTTTCAGCCAACGTTTGACATCTTTTCAACCGAATTTTTACATTTTTTTTCATCACAATTATCACAAAGATCATCACACCGATCATATGTTACTTGAAAAAATTCAAAACTAAATGCAAGCAAGAATAATGAACGATTCCTCTGATTGGTTATTTTTGACGTCACGTGACGTTAAATTTGACGTCGTCGCGACGCATCTATTGCATCATAGCAACTAGTATTGTTGACATAATAATGTTAAGCACAACATATTATTAAAATAAAAATGGATGAATTCGTAGAAGAAAATCAGGCAGCTGAAGGAGTAAAACAAAACAACAAGATTCCACAAGCTAAAGGTTAGAAATGTTTTTTTTTTTGTATTAGTGATTGAAATTTAATTGATATTCAGCAAATAAACTCCATTTGAAAGATAAAATCATATGCAAAGCGAAATGAACGCTTGAATGTGATGGATAAAATTTATAGTATATGCAATATCATGTCTTTAAAACGTTTTATTGACCTATTGAACATATTGTTATTTTCATTTTATTTATTATAGTTATGGAATGCGGAGAAAATGGTGGTATCAAAAGAAGAAAAAGAAAACAATCTCAGAAACAATACGAGAGATGGGTAAAATATCGGGAACAGAAAAAATCCGAGAAGAAGATGAAAGCCTCATTAAATCAAGCAGCTTCAATTGCGGCTTTTTCCAATTTAAGAGCAGAAGCGACAGAGTTTGTGCCCCGATCTCAGGCTTCAAACCTGGGTCAGTTACCTCCATCTGTTAACATAAATGCCGAGCAGGAATGTGAGAAAACGCAGCTAGTGGAAGATGTTGTTGAAGTGCATGAAGAGAATACAAATAGCAGTATTGATGTATCTGATATCATTGTAGAATCAGAAAGTGAAATCGCAGATAACATTCACACTGACGAAGATGACTTGGACGCCGGCGTATTTGGAATATTAACAATCTACACTTCTAGTGAAATCCACGCCATTGTTGACAAGGTAAACAATACATTATTATTTTATTATCTTATTGTTCTTTAATAGTTTCATTTCATTATTGTTATCGGAAATAGACATTTTGTCTAATAATGAAATCACAATAATTATAATAAAATATAAAAATGACAGTAATTTAGGATATACACCTAATCGTTACAAGCATGAGACAGATGTTCTAATTTCAGTAGAAAAATAAAATTATCTTGTAATAAATTTAAATTAGACAGATCTCTTAATGTTAACAGAAGAATAAATATGTCTTTCAATAAATTTTAAATCTGATGTTTTATTCTACAGGAGACGATTTGCAAGAATTCTGATACTGCAGACACAACTGGATACTTCTATTTTTCACTCAAAAATTTGTAAAATTAATGTATTAGAATAATAAAGAAATATACATAATTCAGATTTTTAATTTCTTGTTGTTTTTGTTTTTATCGTAACTTGAATAAAAGTAAAACGTCCAGTTAACAGAGGAGGTATTTGAAAGTGTTTTTTTTTTCTTCTGCTCTTGAATTTCAGTGAGGAAAACGTTTTCGTAATAACCTGTTCTGGACGACGGTGCTATTCATTTCCTGCAGACCCTGCTTTAGTCAAGGCCATGCTTTATCAGATGTTGATAAGCAATCGCATTTTACAAACCATAAATTAAAACAAATTACATGCGCGTGTGGTGATGTTTCTATAAATAGCAACTTTAATTGAGTCAAAGAGACTTGCGGAAATGTGATTTTGCTATCAGCTGACAGTTTTGTATTTCAATAGACCTTTAATAACTACACAAATCTATAAAAAATCAATCAGTTTAATGTTACTTGTTGTTGGCTTATCGGCTCATGTCATATAACCCTCGCAGACATTAATATGAAACCATATAACCTATCAAAATCTTTTTTATACATATAACCAATAGTATATATTACCCAAACTATAATAAAATAAGCCCATTAAAGATAAGTAATCAAAAATCTACCAGAAACCAGATATTGAAATAAAATAAAATACGATATTTTTTTTTTATATTTCAATTTCAAATTTTGAAAGCGGCATTGTTTTTTGATATTCTATGAGTCATAAACAGCTTCAAGGTGCTTTTAACAATTTGTTGTTTCTGTAAAATAGTGATAAAAATCTTCTTTTATCAAAACATACGAATTGCAGAATTTATGTAATCTGTTTCAAACAGCAAATTTTAATTCTTGTTTTGTTTGCTTGTAAAACTGCCGTTTTTTTACTCTTATCGTCTATTTGAAATTTAAATATATTTTTTGTAACACGTACTTTTTGAGAGTGGTTTCAGTCGGACAGAACTGACTGCAGATTAATTCACCGATATGTTAGAATCTTTAATTCTCTATGAAAGAAACACTTAACCTGGAAACTTTTTATCCTTATTTTCTTGACACCGTGTTTGTATACTGGAATTGTGTATAATTTTTGTACAGATAATTTACTTTTATCACTGCATGTTCACCCTGTATTACCGACTACCCCAGAACCTAGAGGAAGTAAAGCGCTTGTGTACATACATATTGTTCAACTAGAATATTTTTAAAGGAACATTATCCAGTCCTTGTGAAGACAGTTTAAGGAAAAGAGATAGTTAAAAGTTATTTAAAAAAAAATCTTATATATTTTCCCCTTGGCGTTCCATTACCGACGACGCGCTGTATCCTCCGGTTTTCCTGTTAGCCGATTAACCACCACGAAACAATAGGGAAAGAAAAAAATCTGTTAAAATCAATGACTACCACATGTAAGACATGGCTCATTAGCGTAAAATTGCGTGTAAAACTTCTGAAATGTAAACTAATGATTGTGTTCTGAAGACCGCAGGGTATTGGTACGCGTTTAACTTTTGAGGCATGGAGGAGCACGTGACCTGTTTTCGGTACATGGAGGAGCATGTGATCTGTAAACCGTACATGATTGGTTAATTGACCTTTTCGAAAACCTAGCTAAATACCGTTTGCCGGTACGTTAACGGATTTAACTCTAGGGAATTAGTCCGAATTACACCTAATTAATTACAAAAAACTATTACGTGATATTTCTAATTTTCTATAGTTATTTTACCGTTTACGGTGGAAAAACTTGAATGCTGTGTTTGAAAATTATCAATGTTTCTTTAATATCTATATCTCAAATTTTACAAAACAATAAATTGTTTAGACTGAAAATCTACAAAATTAAAATATTCGTAGTGGCATCTGCCATAATTAATAGCGATATTTTCCGCGTAAACTTGTGTGTTTACTTTATTTTTTGTTGCTCGGAATTATTCATAAAATGGTAGACCTATTTAATCATTTTCTTAAAAAGAAATAATTGTTTTATGTTCGACCTTCTCCGGTCTTCAACGGTCACCAGTTTCCAAAGACCTTCTTCTATATTGATCGATTATTGTCAACTATATTCCTGATACAAACGTTTATAACCCCATTTTCCAATTCAATGATTTTTAAGAGTTATGGCCCTTTAAATATTATGATTTTTTTAAAAAAAGTTTTGCCCGGGCTTCTTCTCTTAAACTACTTATGCAATTTGAGTGAAACTTTACAGGACAGATCGGAACCTCAAGTACTTGCGCATGTATAACGGGTTTTCCGGTTGAATGATTTTTGGCTGAGTTTTTGCCCTTGAATAAAAAAAAGGCGTTTTGGTCTGTTCATGATTTTTGTGTCGCCTGCTATACAGTGTCTTCAACATGCTACAAACAAGCCGAACTGTCCAATCATCCTCAAAACAATTGCTTGATTGGCTTTCGTCAGGCTACAATATGATTACTTGTGTGTTTGGGTTTGTGTACCCTCGCCACCGGAAAGAGACCATATGGGCGAGCAACAATATGGTCACTGATCGCTGTTGTACTTTTATAGATCCAGTCGGTTCTTCTGTTATAGACCAGTCTGATTCAGTCTAATTTCACCTTCATGTGAGAAAACGCAGCTAGTCGAAGATGTTGTTGAAGTGCATGAAGAGAATACAAATAGCAGTATTGATGTATCTGATATCATTGTAGAATCAGAAAGTGAAATCGCAGATAACATTCACACTGACGAAGATGACTTGGACGCCGGCGTATTTGGAATATTAACAATCTACACTTCTAGTGAAATCCACGCCATTGTTGACAAGGTAAACAATACATTATTATTTTATTATCTTATTGTTCTTTAATAGTTTCATTTCATTATTGTTATCGGAAATAGACATTTTGTCTAATAATAAAATCACAATATAATAAAATATAAAAATGACAGTAATTTAAGATATACACCTAATCGTTACAAGCATGAGACAGATGTTCTAATTTCAGTAGAAAAATAAAATTATCTTGTAATAAATTTAAATTAGACAGATCTCTTAATGTTAACAGAAGAATAAATATGTCTTTCAATAAATTTTAAATCTGATGTTTTATTCTACAGGAGACGATTTGCAAGAATTCTGATACTGCAGACACAACTGGATACTTCTATTTTTCACTCAAAAATTTGTAAAATTAATGTATTAGAATAATAAAGAAATATACATAATTCAGATTTTTAATTTCTTGTTGTTTTTGTTTTTATCGTAACTTGAATAAAAGTAAAACGTCCAGTTAACAGAGGAGGTATTTGAAAGTGTTTTTTTTTCTTCTGCTCTTGAATTTCAGTGAGGAAAACGTTTTCGTAATAACCTGTTCTGGACGACGGTGCTATTCATTTCCTGCAGACCCTGCTTTAGTCAAGGCCATGCTTTATCAGATGTTGATAAGCAATCGCATTTTACAAACCATAAATTAAAACAAATTACATGCGCGTGTGGTGATGTTTCTATAAATAGCAACTTTAATTGAGTCAAAGAGACTTGCGGAAATGTGATTTTGCTATCAGCTGACAGTTTGTATTTCAATAGACCTTTAATAACTACACAAATCTATAAAAATCAATCAGTTTAATGTTACTTGTTGTTGGCTTATCGGCTCATGTCATATAACCCTCGCAGACATTAATATGAAACCATATAACCTATCAAAATCTTTTTTATACATATAACCAATAGTATATATTACTCAAACTATAATAAAATAAGCCCATTAAAGATAAGTAATCAAAAATCTACCAGAAACCAGATATTGAAATAAAATAAAATACGATATTTTTTTTTTTATATTTCAATTTCAAATTTTGAAAGCTGCATTGTTTTTTGATATTCTATTAGTCATAAACAGCTTCAAGGTGCTTTTAACAATTTGTTGTTTCTGTAAAATAGTGATAAAAATCTTCTTTTATCAAAACATACGAATTGCAGAATTTATGTAATCTGTTTCAAACAGCAAATTTTAATTCTTGTTTTGTTTGCTTGTAAAACTGCAGTTTTTTTACTCTTATCGTCTATTTGAAATTTAAATATATATTTTTTTGTTACACGCAATTTTTTGAGAGTGGTTTCAGTCGGACAGATCTGACTGCAGATTAATTCACCGATATGTTAGAATCTTTAATTCTCTATGAAAAAAACACAAAACCTGGAAACTTTTTATCCTGTTTTCTTGACACTGTGTTTGTATACTGGAATTGTGTATAATTTTTGTACAGATAATTTACTTTTATTACTGCATGTTCACCCTGTATTACCGACTACCCCAGAACCTAGAGGAAGTAAAGCGCTTGTGTACATACATATTGTTCAACTAGAATATTTTTAAAGGAACATTATCCAGTCCTTGTGAAGACAGTTTAAGGAAAAGAGATAGTTAAAAGTTATTTTTAAAAAAAAAATCTTATATATTTTCCCCTTGGCGTTCCATTACCGACGACGCGCTGTATCCTCCGGTTTTCCTGTTAGCCGATTACCCACCGTGAAACAATAGGGAAAGAAAAAAATCTGTTAAAATCAATGACTACCACATGTAAGACATGGCTCATTAGCGTAAAATTGCGTGTAAAACTTCTGAAATGTAAACTAATGATTGTGTTCTGAAGACCGCAGGGTATTGGTACGCGTTTAACTTTTGAGGCATGGAGGAGCACGTGACCTGTTTTCGGTACATGGAGGAGCATGTGATCTGTAAACCGTACATGATTGGTTAATTGACCTTTTCGAAAACCTAGCTAAATACCGTTTGCCGGTACGTTACGGATTTACCTCTAGGGAATTGGTCCGAATTACACCTAATTAAGAACAAAAAACTAATTCGTGATATTTCTAATTTTCTATAGTTATTTTACCGTTTACGGTGGAAAAACTTGAATGCTGTGTTTGAAAATTATCAATGTTTCTTTAATATCTATATCTCAAATTTTACAAACAATAAATTGTTTAGACTGAAAATCTACAAAATTAAAATATTCGTAGTGGCATCTGCCATAATTAATAGTAAACTTGTGTGTTTACTTTATTTTTTGTTGCTCGGAATTATTCATAAAATGGTAGACCTATTTAATCATTTTCTTAAAAAGAAATAATTGTTTTATGTTCGACCTTCTCCGGTCTTCAACGGTCACCAGTTTCCAAAGACCTTCTTCTATATTGATCGATTATTGTCAACTATGTTCCTGATACAAACGTTTATAACCCCATTTTCCAATTCAATGATTTTTAAGAGTTATGGCCCTTTAAATATTATGATTTTTTTTAAATTTTTAAAGTTTTGCCCGGGCTTCTTCTCTTAAACTACTTATGCAATTTGAATGAAACTTTACAGGACAGATCGGAACCTCGAGTACTTGCGTATATATAACGGGTTTTCCGGTTGAATGATTTTTGGCTGAGTTTTTGCCCTTGAATAAAAAAAAAGGCGTTTTGGTCTGTTCATGATTTTTGTGTCGCCTGCTATACAGTGGCTGCAACATGCTACAAACAAGCCGAACTGTCAAATCATCCTCAAAACAATTGCTTGATTGGCTTTCGTCAGGCTACAATATGGTCACTTGTGTGTTTGGGTTTGTTTACCCTCGCCACCGGAAAGAGACCATATGGGCGAGATACAATATGGTCACTGATCGCTGTTGTATTTAGATCCAGTCGGTTCTTCTGTTATGGACCAGTCTGATTCAGTCTAATTTCACCTTCATGTATCCAGTCTAAATTTAAGTTCGTGGACCCAGTCTAAATTTACTTTCATGAATCCAGTCTAATTTTACTTTCATGGATTCAGTGTCATCTTATTTCCAAGGATCCAGTCTATTTAACTAGTTTGATTTTGATATGCAAAGAAAATATGATAGATCTGTATTTAAGTACAGTCAAAATAACTTCATCGAATACTAGTATATACATGTACATCCGTATGCAATATGTACAATGTTAAATGTAATTTGAAAACACTAGTAATCGGCGCTGCGTTTGCATGTCATTTAAATGCAACAATGCATTTGTTGTGACCTTCAGTGACCTGACTTTGACCCTCTCAGCTGACACTCAAGTTTAAGACAAGCGGCGACTTCCCAAACGTTTCATTAACACCATTCATATTTAACATGCCTAATACAATAACAATTGACAAAGTGCTTAAGGTCTTATTACATGAAAAAATATCTGGCGTTCATATTACAACAAAAAGTGCCGATTCACATATTGTTACTCGAGTGTCAACTGAAGTGATAAAGAAAGTCCTGTATAATGTATTCCAGTTTTGATGGAGGTCAATAACCTAAGTACTAGAACTATCTTACAAAAATTCCTCACCACCCACAAACTAAAATTGCTATGAAAACAATACTAATTAATATTGTCAGGGAATCATAACTTTAATAGTTGAAGGTCATTGGCAGCAATTTGGATTCCTCGTTTTGGAGAGTCGGTCTTATATGAAAAAGTCGTTTAGATCGAACTCCGGACGGGTAATCCTCAAAGACCATTACAAGAGCTGTTTGTAAAACAGCGCTCTTGACTATTATCTGTTCTTGACAGTAAGAAAAGGGTCATAACTCTGTAAACAGAAAAAAACAGAGATATAGGACCTGGGTCCATCTTGTTATATAACCACAGGGAATAAGTGTGTGAAGTTTTCATTCTATGTTACCAACTTGCCCACAAATCTCAACCAAAGTGTGACGGCGACGGCGACGCCGGATAAGTACAATAGCTCTCCCTATTCTTTGAATAGTTCAGAATTCAAGAGAAAAGTTCTTACACAGAGTAAACCGGTGACCGTGTGTGGTATCATGATGTTACAGACGTAATAGTCTATGATGTCAGTGAACAAAAATGGAAATGTTCCACCTATGTGAAGTTCGTATAAACTCGCCAAAATTCGTCAATTTCCGTACAGAAAAGTACTTTTTCAGCCAACGTTTGACATCTTTTCAACCGACTTTTACATTTTTTTTCATCACAATTATCACAAAGATCATCACACCGATCATATGTTACTTGAAAAAAATCAAAACTAAAGACAAGCAAGGACAATGAACGATTCCTCTGATTGGTTATTTTTGACGTCACGTGACGTTAAATTTGACGTCGTCGCGACGCATCTATTGCATCATAGCAACTAGTATTGTTGACATATTAATGTTAAGCACAACATATTATTAAAATAAAAATGGATGAATTCGTAGAAGAAAATCAGGCAGCTGAAGGAGTAAAACAAAACAACAAGATTCCACAAGCTAAAGGTTAGAAATGTTTATTTTTGTATTAGTGATTGAAATTTAATTGATATTCAGCAAATAAACTCCATTTGAAAGATAAAATCATATGCAAAGCGAAATGAACGCTTGAATGTGACGGATAAATTTAAAGTATATGCAATATCATGTCTTTAAAACGTTTTATTGACCTATTGAACATATTGTTATTTTCATTTTATTTATTATAGTTATGGTATGCGGAGAAAATGGTGGTATCAAAAGAAGAAAAAGAAAACAATCTCAGAAACAATACGAGAGATGGGTAAAATATCGGGAACAGAAAAAATCCGAGAAGAAGTTGAAAGCCTCATTAAATCAAGCAGCTTCAATTGCGGCTTTTTCCAATTTAAGAGCAGAAGCGACAGAGTTTGTGCCCCGATCTCAGGCTTCAAACCTGGGTCAGTTACCTCCATCTGTTAACATAAATGCCGAGCAGGAATGTGAGAAAATGCAGCTAGTGGAAGATGTTGATGAATTGCATGAAGAGAATACAAATAGCAGTATTGATGTATCTGATATCATTGTAGAATCAGAAAGTGAAATCGCAGATAACATTCACACTGACGAAGATGACTTGGACGCCGGCGTATTTGGAATATTAACAATCTACACTTCTAGTGAAATCCACGCCATTGTTGACAAGGTAAACAATACATTGTTATTTTATTATCTTATTGTTCTTTAATAGTTTCATTTCATTATTGTTATCGGAAATAGACATTTTGTCTAATAATGAAATCACAATATAATAAAATATAAAAATGTTCTAATTTCAGTAGAAAAATAAAATTATCTTGTAATAAATTTAAATTAGACAGATCTCTTAATGTTAACAGAAGAATAAATATGTCTTTCAATAAATTTTAAATCTGATGTTTTATTCTACAGGAGACGATTTGCAAGAATTCTGATACTGCAGACACAACTGGATACTTCTATTTTTCACTCAAAAAGTTGTAAAATTAATGTATTAGAATAATAAAGAAATATACATAATTCAGATTTTTAATTTCTTGTTGTTTTTGTTTTTATCGTAACTTGAATAAAAGTAAAACGTCCAGTTAACAGAGGAGGTATTTGAAAGTGTTTTTTCGTCTGTTGTGAAAACGTTTTCGTAATATTCTGTTCTGGACGACGGTGCTATTCATTTAGTGCAAGCCCTGCTTTAGTCAAGGCCATGCTTTATCAGAATGTTGATGATAAGCAATCGCATTTTACAAACCATAAATTAAAACAAATTACATGCGCGTGCGGTGAAGTTACTATAAATAGCAACTTTAATTGAGTCAAAGAGACTTGCGGGAATGTGATTTTGCTATCAGCTGACAGTTTGTATTTTAATAGACCTTTAATAACTACACGAATCTATAAAAATCAATCAGTTTAATGTTACCTGTTGTTGGCTTATCGGCTCATGTCATATAACCCTCGCAGACATTAATATGAAGCCATATAACCTATCAAAATCTTTTTTATACATATAACCAATAGTATATATTACTCAAACTATAATAAAATAAGCCCATTAGAGATAAGTAATCAAAAATCTACCAGAAACCAGATATTGAAATAAAATAAAATACGATATTTTTTTTTTATTTCAATTTCAAATTTTGAAAGGTGCTTTTTTTTGATATTCTATGAGTCATAAACAGCTTCAAGGTGCTTTTAACAATTTGTTGTTTCTGTAAAATAGTGATAAAAATCTTCTTTTATCAAAACATACGAATTGCAGAATTTATGTAATCTGTTTCAAACAGCAAATTTTAATTCTTGTTTTGTTTGCTTGTAAAACTGCAGTTTTTTTACTCTTATCGTCTATTTGAAATTTAAATATTTTTTTTTGTTACACGCAATTTTTTGAGAGTGGTTTCAGTCGGACAGATCTGACTGCAGATTAATTCACCAATATGTTAGAATCTTTAATTCTCTATGAAAAAAACACAAAACCTGGAAACTTTTTATCCTGTTTTCTTGACACTGTGTTTGTATACTGGAATTGTGTATAATTTTTGTACAGATAATTTACTTTTATTACTGCATGTTCACCCTGTATTACCGACTACCCAAGAACCTAGAGGAAGTAAAGCGCTTGTGTACATACATATTGTTCAACTAGAATATTTTTAAAGGAACATTATCCGGTCCTTGTGAAGACAGTTTAAGGAAAAGAGATAGTTAAAAGTTATTTAAAAAAAAAATCTTATATATTTTCCCCTTGGCGTTCCATTACCGACGACGCGCTGTATCCTCCGGTTTACCTGTTATATAAAACAAAATAAATAAATAAATAAATAAATAATTGAATGAATGAATGAATGAATGAATGAATGAATGAATGAATGAAGGAAGGAAGGAAGGAAGCAAGGAAAGAAGGAAGCAAGGAACGAACGAACGAACCGACCGACCGACCGACCGATCGATCGATCGATCAATCGATCAAAAATTTAAAAAAATATATCAACAGTTAATTTTATATAATAAATTAAATGCAGTTTTGTGATGGTTATTACAATTGCAAGTTCTACTGATTAATTTTATTGTTGTATATTTCTGCATTCAATATAATACAATGTATAATGTTTTTACTTTTTTGCCCGTCAAAGATCTGTGTTCATAAAAAATCAGTTTTAAATCGATATTTATTTATAACACCAGATTGATTACGGTCTAACTCTCGTTATATATGAGGCTTATCGTACACTTATAACAACCACTGGGTAATAAAAGTCATAACTCGGTTTTACAATAAATATACAACGATTAAAGCATGGGAAAAATTATCATTTTTTTATACATGACAAATTGTTTAGACTGACATATTTTTGGCACCAATCCATAATTCTCGTAGAAAATATGATTTTATAAAAAAATATCGAGTTTTTGTTTAATATAAGACGTAAATATTTTCCCTCGAAACAATGGCGCTTTTACAGCTCTGAGAAAACTTGATATTTTTCAAAGTATGCATCGTCTGCACTTAAACAATGACGTTACACAGACGGAAAGGGTGTAAGTTACAATAATATACTTTAAAACAAATACAGGGGCTTTTATCTATTATTTATTCGGCGTGCATGGTTCTTTAGTCTTATAGAAATGAGGAGGGAAACAAAGTAGTTTATGAGATGGCTTTTACGAGTTATTGTCAGCAAGTAAATGATAATAATTACATCTGTTATCCAAACCTTTATGTTCTTATCTATATATTTATACCTTACTGCTTATTGTAAAATGACAAATTAGGGGGGAAAGTATCTTTGAAGAATATTTTTGTTAGTTTATTGGATATGATTTGTAAAGTAATCGATATTTTCGTGCGTTTTGTTTACAGAGAAATGATTTAGTAACACACGATATGGATAGGAATCTTGTCATCCTTAATGCCATAAAAATGTTTGTTTTCGTTGTTCCTCTTTATGTTTAACTACGAAAGCCTAATACTGTCAAATAAAATAAAAAAAATAAAAATGCAAAGGCGTTATAACGCGAATAAAGGCATTATTACGCGAATCAAAAGGCGTAATAACGCAAATAAAGGCGATATAACGCGAATAAAAAGGCGTAATAACGCGAAAAAAGGCGTTATAACGTGAATCAAAAGGCGTAATAACGCAAATAAAGGCGTTATAACGCGAATTAAAAGGCGTAGTAACGCATTTATATAGGGTTAACGCACGTTTTTCCGTGTTATAACGTCTGCAGAGCCCCGAGGAACGGTTGGTGCCCGAGCCCGGTAGGGCGAGGGCTCCAACAGTTCCGAGGGACTCTGCAGACTTTATAACACGAAATAAACGTGCGTTGACGCTATTATAGCATAAAATTTTAAAACAGATTCATGATGTATATTATATATAAAACACAAACATTAAATCCTTATGCTTGAACGGTATTTATCCAACTTTACATGTTTTACGTATGCGTTTTATTTTTTCCGGGGCCAACAACTTGAGAACCGAACGAAAGTTAGAATTTTAATTGATTTAACAAAGTTTAACTTTGGAGATATATTAACTTAAGAAAAACATAACATTACTCTACCAAAGACAAAACAGGCGCCTCAGAAATTCCTAGAATGGTTACAGATTGGCGGTAGGAAAAAGATCAGTGACATCAAGATTCAATTTCAGAATCGGTTTTTTAAGCACGCAAGTTTAAAAAAAATCAGGCATAAAACATTATTCTCTCAAAGAAAGATAATGAACATTTATCAATATAAACGTCAATAAAACAACGTTTTCTTATATTCATTTTGTGCTTTCCATTTTTGTAAGTTAATCGGGGGATTAAACTGAATGACAGATTCTATTTGTTTACCCTGTTTGCAGGTATTCTCGCGGTACTAAGGAAATAAAGTCATATAATGACAAACAAAATATTTACCTTGTTGTTCTTTCCTTTTCTTCATCCAAGTTAACCAATAATTGATTTATTTACATGAAAAAAATCGATATAAAACATTTCAATTTTATTTTCCGCCATTTTATAAACAGGTACCCTGACCTTGACCTTTGAATAGAAGTTATTTATATTCTCGCGGTAAAAATCTATACCATACAGTAGGCTTTCAGCAAGTCAAAGATGTATAAACTACCTAATGCAATTAACTGAACAATAACTGTACTAAAAGTTTCAACAAGTGTGACTTTATAATTAATGCAAAAACATGTCTTTAATCAAATTTGTCTGAGCACAAGGTAAGTTGATTTGTAATATTTCCTGTCACATGAGTTATTCTTCAGTTACACAATGTGGGCATCTGAACACAGTAGCCCTTCTTACTACTGTAATTGGTGTACAAAATCTAAGATGTACCCAATGTGAGCAAAAATTACACTGAGCCCACTTTGTGAAGACAATACTAACACAATGCTTGAGTTGAGTGGGTGTGTAGAGCTTGCAGACACAACATTTGTCTCTCTCCTCTATCTCAATATCAGTATCACTGTCTGACATATGTGATGGAGAGTCCAAAGAAATAGGTACTCCTGTCTTAGATGTTCCAGATGTGCTAGGAACTAGTTCTTCATGCTCCTTACTCTTCCTCTGCTTCTTAGACGGTGTTTGTATGGGATTTTTTTGTCTATTTTGAACTGTTTTCTCAGATTTGGCACCCTTAGACTTCCTTTGATTTTGCAGAATATGTGTATTTCTTTCATTTAACAGATTTCCCATTATGTATGGTGGAATGAATTTTTTCTTAGGTCTTTGTTTGACAGTGTTAATTTGTCTCTTTGCAAAGAAAGTGACAGACTCATCATACAAAATGGTTTCTTGCGAGTCAGAGGGCTCTTCTGGTTGCTGTGGTGCCTTTTCGGTTGATTCAACTTGTGTATCCAGTCCCTGGCACTGATCATGATTTTCACTGGAATAAATTGATGAAGGTGCAGTGTCACTCTTGGAAATTTGAGACTCATCAAATGGATATATTCCTGATTTTTTGAAAGCTGATGTGATGTTTGATGGAGAGAAAGCTTTCAAGTACGGCTTAGAAGTTAGTGAAGCAATTTCATATTTGGTGATGTATACACCCGGGTTATGCTGCAAATACTGTTGACACTCAGTGTAGTAGAAGGCTTTGAATGGGCCATAAACACCAACATCCAGTGGTTGCGTGAGATGACTGGTATGTGGGGGAAGTACAAAGAGGACCACATTCCTCTGTCTAGCCCACTCATTCAAAGTCAACGATAAATGACTTTTGTGCCCATCATACAGGATCAATGTGGCTGGTCTATCTGAAGAGACAGAATCAAGGTTACAGTGCTTCGCAAGATGTCTCGTGACATAATCTTCAAAAATTTCACCATTCACCCAACCACTATCCGACATTGTACCATCTGCACCAGGTTGAGCACCTTCCATGAACTGAGAATTAAACCTTTTCCCAGGGAATATATAAAAAGGAGGCACATGATTTCCAAGGGCATTTGCTCCTCCTATTATTGTTACATTGGAAGATCTTGGGGAGGTAATTGCCTGAGGTTTATCATTTTTCCCACAAACAATTTTAGGTGGTGAGTGCTGGGTGCTTACTCCTGTTTCATCTATATTATAGATTCTTTCAGGTGAATTGATTAAGTCATTGTCATCTAGAATATTCTTCAGTTTTTTGAAATAGTTGTTTATTTTTTCTTCAGAGGCACCTTTAGCTCTGGCCAAATCAAGCTTTTGAGGCTTGACAGCTTTCAAGTCTGGGTTTCTTTTCATGAAACTATAGTACCACACAGTACTTAAACCATCCTTCGCAACAACTTTCTTCCCCATTGACCTGGCATAGTCAGCAGCCATAAATCTTATGTTGGTCATGGTGTAGCCATATCCGATACTGGCCATATACTTTATATGCTGTGCTAGCTTGTCCTCCTCCAGAGAAGACAATAGAGTCTCTGGTCCAGGACGTGCCTCAAGGGTGACATTATGTCTAGTCCTGTCTCTCAAAGTAGACTCCGGGACATGGTACACTCTAGATGCCCGATAAACAGACATGCCATTTGAAACACAAGCTGCATAGGCTCTCTTAAGGCTTTCCTTGTCATATGGCTGCTTAAGCCTGCTTTGGGACCCCTGAAAAAAAAAAAAAAATCTATGGTATGGTATAGGTTTTGAAGTTTTAGGCAACAACAACAACAACAACAAATGGAGTCCTGTCAGCAGACGGAAGATGTCAATCTTAAAATGGAGGAAAGTTACCAAAGAATAGACATTTTTGTGAATGATTTAGTTAAAGTTTTGCATTTACAAGGTAAAATTTGTGATTTACTTACCTTTAGTCGGTTCATTACTGTAAAATGTTACTCAAAACACTGCTGAATAAAAGTAGGTCACAAATATTTACTATAGGTGGCGCTGTGATTCAACCTCGTGAAAAATAAAAATAACGCGAGAATAGATTTAACGCGAGAATACCAGCAAAGAGTATACATTGACAACTGTCCGTTTCTAAGAAAGGGCGACAACCAAGATAAGCGGCGATGTCTATACGCCGTATTGCCGGCATAATTACTTGAATATGCGACTGAGGCCCTCGAATTAATAATTCCAATATAACAAGAGCGCATGACTCTGGCAAACAGGCCAAATTGTCATTTTTTGTTTGTTTTCTGGGCCCTGCATGTATTGCGCATAGGTAAAACCGGGCTATAACAAGAGCGCGTGACTATGTTAACGCATGGTTTTGGCCCCGTTATAACATGGGCAAAAGAGGGAAAAATAGCCGATTTTATGCTATAATTCGCGTTATAACGCGAATCAAAAGGCGTAATAACGCGAATAAAGGCGTTATAACGCGAATCAAAAGGCGTAGTAACGCCTTTATTCGCGTTTTAACGCGAATCAAAAGGCGTAATAACGCGAATAAAGGCGTTATAACGCGAATCAAAAGGCGTAATAACGCGAACCAAAAGGCGTAATTACGCAAAACCATAGGCGTTATAACGCTAATTTTATACCATATAAATTCCAAACAATGGCCTAGTCATGTTAGAAAGGATCTAAATGAATTGATCTAAATGTACGTTTTATTTTCAATTCTGTATGGATACGTCCTAAGACCAAAGTTTGATTTTTTTTAAATCTTTTATTAGGAAATGCTTTCGTCAGATTAGAGGTTACTATCACCCAACTTTAGATACTTTTCTACAAGGACAAAGAAGACAATTGTCTCCTGTAATTGTAACTTAACAGAAACACTTTCACCCTTCTAAGCATACCTATCAATAATTAAGATATACTTTCACCCTAATGTGATTTACTTATACCTTACTTTTTTTTCAAAATCTTGTTACCTATAGCCTATTACCTATGGCGTAATTGGGAACGACATTCACATAATTAGAAGATACTACAGGTTATTAAGTAATTATACAGGATATATCCGTAGAAAATTGAACATATGACGCACATATAAGATAAAAGATAAGATATAAGAAAAGAAAAGATAAGAAAAGAAATTCATTTATATTACTATAGTGACGTGTTTAAAATCAATGATGTGATACATGATTTCAGAGTAACTTTATTTAAGTCCAGTCCAATGGACCTATAAGTCACCAAGTTTTCTTATATTGGCAAATAATAAAGAGTCTTCATTATTTTATGACAAATAGTTTGCATTATTACTGTGCAAATGGAATGATAGTTATTGTAAATGTATATTGTATAATCTTATACGAGTTTATATCTTGAGCAATAAATTCAGATCAATATTGGTCTTCCTTTCTCGCGTTACTAGGCAATTTGATAAGTATAAATATGGTATAAAATTGGCATTCTAATGCGTTTTAATTTGCGTTATTACGCCTTTCGGTTCGCGTTACTACGCTTTTATTCGCGTTACTACGCCTTTTGATTTGCATTATTACGCCTTTATTCGCGTTACTACGCCTTTTGATTTGCGTTATTACGCCTTTATTCGCGTTATAACGCCTTTTGATTCGCGTTATAACGCCTGTATTCGCGTTATTACGCCTTTTGATTCGCATTATAACGCGAATAAAGGCGTTACTACGCCTTTTGATTCGCGTTATAACGCCTTTATTCGCGTTATTACGCCTTTTGATTCGCGTTATAACGCAAATAAAGGCGTTACTACGCCTTTTGATTCGCGTTATAACGCCTTTATTTGCGTTATTACGCCTTTTGATTCGCGTTATAACGCCTTTATTCGCGTTATTACGCCTTTTGATTCGCGTAATAACGCCTTTATTCGCGTTATAACGCCTTTGCATTTTTATTTTTTTTTATATTTTATTTGACACTATTAGGCTTTCGTATTTAACTGTACACTGACATTGTAAATATAATATTGCGAATTACCCAGCCTTATTTCATGTAATTGTAAAAGAAGATCTCAAATGACCAAAGCAGTGCATTTTCAGGCGTTGACGGGCACCTGAGTAGAACAAACAACGTTCTATAGCAACCTCACATTCAAAGTACCTAAAGTTCCTGGGGGTGATAATCACGAAATAAGATGTTAAAAAGATTTTTTTTTTAATTTTCAAAACCCTCTAACTTTACCCGTTCGGAAGGCCCCACTGATTTTTCCGATGCCATTAACATTGTTAATTGCCTGGCATAGTCATAGTGGTCGTCGATGTGGCAATAAGCAAGCTGATGCCTTCAATGTCTTTTCGGATTGCAGACGATCGCTAGAAATTGTAACAAATCAATACTGTAATATATAGCATTACGTTTATGTATTGCTTATTTATATTTTTAGATGTGCAGTTTTTTGTGACCTGCATCAAGAATAATGACGAGAAAATAAAATCGAGAAAACTTATTTTTTTAGATTTGACATCTTTTCTATTATGCCACAACTTTAAGTGCATTGATTTCACATGTCTAA